TCCTGGGTGTGGCCGAGGTGGGACTCAAGGGGGAGCCAGCTGGTCAGGAGACTGGCATCTCCGTGGAAAGGGTCGAGCCTGGGCGTGGCGTTAAGACAATTTAAACTGGTTTTACTTGCTTTCTATTGAAAAAGTAATATTCCCGCATGGCCAGACCATTGGGAGGGTACAGAGGGTGCACAGTGCCCCTCGCCTTTCCCAGAAGCAGTGCCAGCGCGCAGCGGGAAGCAGGGCTCCGGGTGTCTGTGCCCAGACGCTGGACCATGGTCCTGCCCTGGCTTTCCCGCCTGCGCCTGGGGTGGCTCCCCGCTCCCCCTAGTGGACACTCAGGCCTTGCTCATCCTTCCTGCTACACGTCTCCCAGTTGGGAGCTGGGGCCCCTCCGGGCTCTGGCAGGAGATACCCCATTGCAGGGAGATGAGGCCCCGCCCTCTGATTGGCTCTTTGGCCCCAGCATCCCAGCATCGGGGTTGCCAAGGCCTTTCTGGGAGTTGAGGAAGAGAGGAAGTTGGGGGGACTGTGCATGGAGTGGGGCCAGCCCTGCTCCCATCTGCAGCCCTGACCTCGCCCGTCACCAGCCCATGCCCGGCCCAAGGCTGCGAGGAGGCCCGTGGTCTCCTTCGCCTTCCCAGGCGCACCGCCTGGGGCTGGGCAGGCAAAGGTGGGATACCTTTCCTTTTTGTCCGAGAATCCAGCTTCCTCCCCGAAGGCTGGCCACCGCCATGCCTCCAGCCGGGTGGGCCTTTCCTGCTCGGCTAGTGCCTCCCCACCCCGAGCTCCACAGCTTCCTTGGTGACCCCACTGCCTTTAGCAGGAACCGTTCCTTGTCCAGGTAACTTTCCTGGGAACGTCCTGCTCACCCAGTGAGGGCCAGGGCCTCCCGTGGGCCCAGGTGTTTCCTCTGGTCCTCACCCCACACAGGGCAGCTGCAGGGCCCGGGAAGCGCGTGGCATCGTGCGTGTGACAGTGGCAAGAAACGCGCCAAGGCCTCCCTGTGGCTTTGGCTTCCCCGTTTCCAGCCCCCGGCTGTCCCTGGAGACGCTGTGGTGACAGCTTGAGAGCTTGACGTTCTTACATAAGCAGGGAGCCCGTGAGAAGTCACCGCCCACCACATCCCTCCGTGCTGTTAGCATCCCTCGCTCCATTTGGGGCCCTCTTGGGGGAGCGGGGGGCTGTGTGGCTGAGGAGCTGGCGAGCACCCAGCGGTGTGGGACTCTTGGGGGGCGGGGGTAGGGTCTGGCAGAGCCCGGCCAGGCCGCACTAGGACGGCGTCTCCCGCACCAGGTTTGTGGCCACGGCGGTGGTCTTTGGGTGGAAATGACATTTCCTTTGAGCTTGTCTGTGTAGAACATGGACGGTTATAAAGACCAGACTGTTGTCACCCTTTAATGAATGATGAAGGCTTACTGAAACCTCACAACTGCAGAGCCCTAAAGTTTATAAAACGCTTCTGATGACTCGACACCCCACACCCCAGTCTTCTGTGCTGTGGGGGACAGGGGTGGTCTCGGCATTTTACTGGGGACTCAGAGCCTGAGGCGGTGGAGGATGGAGTGTGGGTTCGGGACTCAGTTACCTTAGAGAACCCGAATGCCAGAGGCAAGCTCCCCAGCACAGAGCGGCAGCTCCCTGTGGTGGCTCAGCTGGTTGTCCCGCGGGCACATCTCTGATGCCGGCAGAGGGAGGTGGGGTGGGGGATGGTTCAGGACTTGCCTGGGTCGGTGTGAGGCCCTCACGCCGCTCCGTGCATTTCAGATCTGGCAGGGGATCGACATCGAGACCAAGATGCACGTCCGCTTCCTTAACATGGAGACCATGGCCCTCTGCCACTGAGCGCTCCCCGCGGAGACCGCACTTTGCACCGTGCAGCCCTCCAAGGCCGAGCAGCCCCCCGAGGCCTGAGCAGCAGGCCGGGGCCTGTGCCCCGCAGCTCATCCCGCCCCCAGGACAGGGCATGGTGTGTGGGACTTTACTGTTTTTATCTCCAATAAAAAAGGAACAGGGTTTGTTAATGAACAAGGCTCCTGTCTGTCCCTTGCCCACATGAGTGGCCTGCCATTGGCTGGCACAGCGGAGACGGAGGAGCAAGCAGCTGAGTCATGGTCGAAGGCTGGTTCAAGGGGATTTTTCTCTTTGTTGGGTTCATTTTGGTAACATGTCTGCTGTTTTCCCTGCAGAAGTGCTGGGAATTAAGTCAGGAGGCAGCTCCTTGCTCCCGGGACTGGGGACTTGGCTGTGGGCTTCCTCAGCGTCGTGGCCGCACATTTGGAGCCTGTGCGGCTGCAGGGGCCCGAGCTGGCCTCATGGTGCTGGGCACTGATGCCAGGGCTCAGGCTGGGGTGCTGTGGCCCCTCCTGGCAGGATGGGGCAGCGGCAGGGCCCAGCACTTGGTCCCCAGCGTCCGTGGCAGCGATGTAGACCTGGCACCGTGGGGGGATGTGACCGCCCCAGGTAAGCATCTCCCAACGCTCACCTGATCGGGATGGGCTGTGGGCGGGCGTGAGGAAGCACGGGTGTGTATCGCAGGTGGGGCTGTGGCCTGTGAGTCAAACTCGGGGAGCTGAGATGCCCTGCGCCTCGCCCAGCAGTACTGACGCCCTGGGCACAGCGCCGGGTGGTGGGAGCTGTGGCTGTTTGCACTCCAGGCGCCCTCCCAGCATCACATTAAGGAGACGCTTGGCTCCTTTACCGACACTCGCTGGGCGGCACCGTTCCCACCTTAAAGTTCTCCTGCGAACTGGCAACAGCTGTCACTTGCATTCTCTAATTTTTAAAAAAATATGTCTATTGATTTCAGAGAGGAAGGGAGGAGAGAGAGAAACATCAATGATGAGAGAGAACCATTGATGGGCTGCCTCCTGCAGCCTGGGTATATGCCCTGACCTGGAATCAAACTGTGACCTCCTAGTTCAGTGGTGGCGAACCTTCTGAGCTCGGCGTGTCAGCATTTTGAAAAACCCTAACTTAACTCTGGTGCCGTGTCACATATAGAAATTTTTTGATATTTGCAACTGTAGTAAAACAAAGACTTATATTTTTGATATTTATTTTATATATTTAAATGCCATCTAACAAAGAAAAATCAACCAAAAAAATGAGTTCGCGTGTCACCTCTGACACACGTGTCATAGGTTCGCCATCACTGTAATTCATAGGTGACGCTCAACCACTGAGCCACCACGGCTGGGCTGCATTCTTGAATTTTCAATTCATAGTTTTGACATGGTTTTGACATAAGTGTGTTACAGGACTTCTCTCACACCCACGCACTGGGGTTCAGACTGGGAAAGGGACAGCCAGGTGCACGTGGGTCTCTAACCTGTTCTTGTCTGGCCCCAACCAACTCTCCCTTCCCAGGGCCTCACCTTAACCCCTATCTGCCTCCGGCACACAGAGACAGATGTGCTATCCAGGATGAAGTTAATGTCGGCATTTAAATTTAAAAACCAGAACAGAGCAGCCAGGTGAGTTGGAGAGAAGCGGGGCAGTGTGGACGGCAGGAGTCCGAGGGTGGCAGACGCAGCTGACTGAGTCTCCTGCCTGCGTCCTGCTGTCAGAAAGCGCTCGGCAGGATGGGGCCGGGCCTCGGAGCCCAGCTGTGCCCGAGGACGCTGGCCTGGGACCTGCCACCACAGTCTCTCATGCGCGGACTGCGGCCCCCACACCCCGTGCTGCAGGTGGATGGTCAGGCTGCCGCTCAACCTCAGGGTAAGTAGACAAGGACAGTCTGAAGTCCTGCCCAGAGTTCTGCATCCTAGACTAGCACATAATTCAACAAGCGTTCAGGGATCTAGAGCGGAAGGTCAGGGCGAAGGCCTCTGCTTCCTGCCCTCCAGGGCACATCTGATGGGAAAGACCAACTAAGAACTAGGAAGACAGGCTGTTTCCCGGGGTGGGGCTGGGATGGGGCCTCCTCCTGCTTCCCTTGCTGCTGGGGGTATTTTGCTCACGCCCTTGGGTTTTCTGGCCGACAGAAGGGTTCTGGGGTCACTGGCCAGCCTGGTGTGGGGGATCTGGCCCAGGAAGTGCCTCCAGTGCACCCCGCAGCCGTGCGGAGGCGTGGTACCCTCCTCATGCCCAGTGAGAGGAACCCCAGGGTCAGAGCGGCAGGGCCCTGGCAGGGCTACAGCAGGCCTGGATCTGCTGGACGCTCCCAGTTTGCTTCCGTTTCGTTCTTCTCAACAAAGGCAGCTCATTAAAGTGTTTTTATAAATAATGCATCTTCCACCAGCCCCAAGTCCTGAGCTGGAGTTTGGGATGTGGGCAGGCATCAAACGCTTTCACTTGCAGACCACACAGGGACAGGCTTGATGTCTGAAGCTTCGGGCCACTGCTCACCTTAAACGGCTCATTAGAGTGAGACTTGCTCACCAGGAGCCCAGGCCATGCTGCTCAGAAGGAAGCTGATGGGTGCTGTCTGTGAGCCGGTGCTGCCCAGTCCACCTGGCGCTCCCGCCTGGCCCCCGGGTGCTGTCTGTGAGCCTGGGCCTTTGCCCATTTGGTTGGTTGCGGGGGTGACCAGGGCTGACTTAGTTGGAAAAAACCTCCCAAAAGGGTAGGCTACTTCACTGTCTAGTGGGGCTGCTGGCCTTTGATGAACAAGGTCTCGAGGTGCCACCTGGCAGTGTGGAGTGGGCAGGGGCCAGGCGCAGTGGCCTGGAAACGACTCCTCTTACCTGCGGGACGAGCGGGTGTGCCCAGGAGGGGCCAGCTGGCTGCACAGACGCAGAGCGAGTGCAGCAGCCCCCTGGCCGGGCCACCTCATCGCAGCAGGTGACGTTTGTTCTGAAACTGATTCTAACACAGGCAGGTGATAAGTCAAGTAGATGCACTGGTTAGCTCTCCTTCTATCAGGAACTGCAGTGACTAAGAGGAAGCAGGCAGAAATCAATGCAAAGCCAAATATTTGAAGGAAGCTGCTGTCAGGGCTTTGAGGGCCTCGGGCTACAGAGGGAGAGACGGGCAGGGCCAGTGCCCAGGTGGCGGGTGAGGCCACTTACCCAGGACTCAGGTGGAAAGTGGGCTCTCATCCTACACCGCCACACCGCCAAAGGGGAAGAGTTACCAGAACTCGGCTTTTGGACGAATACGGCAATTTGACACAGCAGTTTGGTAGGGTTACAAAAGGGCTGTGTAATGGAAATCTAATAGGAGAGGCCTGGGGGAGACATTTCGCAGCCACGATAGACATGAATTATGGATAAGGAAACGGAGTAAGATTACAGCAGCTTCCAAGTTTGGCCGAGCACCCTCTCAGGGAACGAGTTATTGCTGGACTTTAAAACAATTCCATTATCTTATGGTCCAAGGGACCGGAAAGTTCTCTCTCTGCTTCGCTAATGGGAGTCGGGTCCCATATGACCCGATCCTGTCACAGAGCTGAACCTGTCCCTCCTGGCTGCATGGCAGGGAGGCTGTGCTGTGCTGTGAATGCACGGTGGTTTACACAGGCTGCTGCAGAGTTAAAAATACAAGTCACGTTGGCAAGGGTTCTGCAAACACCTGCTTTGCAAGCTGTCGTCCCACAGTGACCTTGGGGAGGCCTTGGGGAACGGAGTGGGAGGGGCCAGGGTTTTAAGCACACTTCGCAGGGCATTAGGGTTGCCTTTGTCTCTAGGAATTGTGAGCCCGCCGGCAGAGGTCCCTGATGGGTGTGTGAGCTGGGCCCCAAGGGAAAACTGATGGTGGCACCCATGGCTGCCGGGCCCTCTGACCCGCTGGTGACCTCGTGGGCACAGACTAGGTCTGGTCTGCACCCACGTAGTGCAGGGGCAGCAGTAAGGTCTCGGGATGTGCTGAGCAGCAGTGTGCAGCCACCCCACCTTAGAGCAGCAAAGGCAGCGTCTCTCCCAGCAGTGGGAGGAAGAGAAGCTGCGGCAGGACAGCTCAGTGCTGGGTGGGGCAC